ATCTTTATTAGAATATTTTGAACGTGAAAGCGGTAGTGATAGCCTTTTATATCCCTTAAGTGCTGTGAGATGAGTTTTGTAGATGTAAATAATAACTGTTTATATATTTATACTTAATTTATTTTTGTTTCTTAAAATATTTAATTAAAATAAAATATGTAAAACTGGTCAACGCTGTGCCGGTCAAGCTTAATCACGCGACTAAAAGTTTATTTGGTATGATTTTTATCTCTTCTTTATTTGGTACATTTTTTTATCTCTACATTATAACAAAAACAAATTCCAATTAACACTGCTTTCAGATGGAGCGGAGCGTCCGCGACGGACGGTCCGTCGCATGTGAAACCACTGTAAATGAAATTATTGCAAGTTTTCTGAATGAAAGTTGAAAAATGTAAAGTTCTAATTGGTTAACATTAGTCTTCACTTTTTGTGAGATTCCACTGTGAGTCTCGAAACTGATACTCAGCGCAGCTAAAAGGCGCTAAAAGATCTCTGTATTTTCAATAAAAGTCTCAAAACTTAAGTAATAGTTTCAATGTCAGTCGCCATGATCACTTTCCTGTTCAAAATAATTTGGTAGAAACGAGACAAAAATCAAATAAAAAAATTATGACAATCGCCGACATTTCCCATGACCACCAACATAAAGCCTTTTTTATCGACCAGTTCGTTCACTTGATGCGACAGCGTGCCCTTTTTTTAACAGGGTATGAGATTATGACAAAGGAAAAAGTGCGCTCTAAATTTCAAATGAATTCTTATACCATGTCTTTCAAACGTGTGCTTTTCAAAACTTTTTATTTTTTCAGATTAATAAAAGAAATTTGGTCTATAACATAAATTAGGATTGTTGATGTATTCAATTGTTTTTGGTCACTTCCTGTTTCACCGGAAATGACTACAACTTTTGGTTTTTAAATGACACCAACGGTATATTTCTACTTTATTCCATAGAAAATGACACTCTAGTGACAATAGAATATGACATATCTTATTAGACTGACATTAGACTCGAAATACTGTGTGTCTGGTACCAAATTATTCGTAAAAAATGCTTTTTTCGAATATACCAATTAGCCACTCTTGTTCCATTTGAAAAACTTGAGATATGATTAAAAATATGATTTGGGTATCTTTTAACCGACCAGGACAAGACACGAAAAGTATTAGATGATCAAACCTATTTTTGCAAGGCTCCTTCATTAAAAATTAGTATTTTTAACACAGCTCTCTAACACATGGCTCTCTAGCTTGAAATTTAAAATACGATTTTTAAGCGAAAATGACATTCTATTCAGAGTGTCATTTTCTATCAAATAAAGTAGAAATATTCCGAGGGTGTCATTTGTGACCAAAAACAATTGAATATGTCAATCAATCCTAATTTATGTCATATACTAACAAAACAAATCTCAAATTGTAAAAAATGTCTATACCTATGTGGCGGATTCATCTATCCAAAAAAATCCTTATGGGTTTTTCGCCACTGCACTGCAAGAAAAATCTACAAAATAAAATAGTTATTTTTTGTAAACACTTCTGCGTTAAACCTAAACGGACGCTGCTTGTCAGAAGTTCTGTTTACAGTATCTGTTTTAAAAAGTAAAGTGTTCTCGAATAGTTCAATTTAAATATTTTAAATAGTTTTTTTCTTGATTCTTTATATTTTTTTGCTTCCGACGACGGAAAGAGAAAACTTTCTGAAACGTTAAGCATTTTTTTCTTTGTTAGGCAAATTTTTATTACTGTAAACACAACTTCTGACAAGCAGCGTCCGTTTAGGTTTAACGCAGAAGTGTTTACAAAAAATAACTATTTTATTTTGTAGATTTTTCTTGCAGTGCAGTGGCGAAAAACCCATAAGGATTTTTTTGGATAAAACAAATCTCGTTTTTTTATTTACAAAAATACGATAAGGATTGATTGACGAATTCAATTAGCTTCGTTCACTTCCCGTTTCACCGGACATGACAACAAATTTTGATTTTTAAATGGTAGCGTCAGTATAGTTATACTTTTTATTTGATACGAAATGGCATTCTGAATAGAATGGCATATCATATATCAACTTTTGATATTTTTACTTAAAAAATAGCTTATAAATGATAAATTTTAAATGTCAGTAATACGGCCGTAAATGTAACGAGAGTTTAATTCGAATATATGTGGTACCAAATATTTCGTAAATAAATGCTTTTTCCAAATATGCTTGTATATTGAGCGACATTTAAAAAAATGAATTATGACTAAAAATACGATTAGGGCGGCTTTAAACAGGCCAAGAAAATATACTAAAAACATTAGATCTATTTTTCCAAAGCTCCTTAATTGATTAAAAATTCAAGGTTTTAGCACAGCCATTCCAATCTATAGTTAAATTTAAAATGTTATTTTTTTAAATTAAAAATAAAATTAAAAATATCAAAAGTTGGTATCTGATTATGTCACTCTCTTTCTCAAATAAAGTATAAAAATATAGAGGGTAACCTTTGAAAATCAAAAGTTATAGTCATTTTCGGTAAAACAGGAAGTGGCCGAAACTACTTATTTGAATGCGTCAATCAATACCGAAATATATCATCTATCGAATTTCGTTTTTTTTTATCAGAGAAAAAGTTATAGGAGTAGTATCACTTTTGGGAAACGCCCGGTACATTAGAAATTTAATTTGGTGATTGGTTCGGCGTTTTTGATGACAGGCACGCCAACTTTTATTGATTTCTCTACACAATATAATATTTTATTTCAATCAAAAGGATGAGATTTTTTATAAAGCAATGAACTGCAATATTTGTCTACTACTAAGAATATTTTATTACTACGCGGTACTATCTTAGCTGGCTTTTAAAAAAACTATAGTGGTGTTACTGTCCTTTTTTGCATTTAAAGAACAGTAATTATCTAAAATTAAAGTAGTATTGTTTTCTATCTAGCAACCACAAAAGGGATTATCTAAACTCCACCATCCGATCTCGGTAGCTGTACCATATGGACCAAGGGGCGAAAACATTGTTTATTTTTTTTATCTGCGCCACGATCGCCAAGTACCTTTCATTAAGCCCTCATAAAGGGATTGCCGTCGCCTGTGAGGGGGTCGGGTGAGTGAAGTGGCTCCGGCCCTTTATGTCGTCCCTTAAAAAGGGCGTATTATCGCGGACCATATGCGAGCCCTCTATTAAAAATCTGACACCAGCGCAGCTCGACCCGGTCGCACTGTGCGTACGAAGGACTATTATTAGTTATTTATGTATTTATGCACCCGCGCCCAAGTTAAGGGCTAACAAATGTGGAAAAATAATAAGGAATTAGCTTGGCGAAAACGAAAATTGCCTCGCTAAATGATTAGCTGTCTGATTTATTGCGTTACTGTTAGATATGGGCTTGACATTATTTCCATTTTTGGCAAATGAAGGATCTTTGTAGTTTTATTTAATTTGACTTTTTAAAGATGTTTTGATACTTTTGATTGATGATTTTTAACAAAAGACAACTGTATAACGTTGACGACACGCAGTGTTCGTATTATTAATTTACTGCGTTATAGTTTGAATCACTTTTTAAAGAAAACTAACTAGAAGGTCCTTCAGGGTGACCTAGCTTAACAAAATAGTTTTCTACGTTTATTATGGTTTTAGATTTTAAAATCAAAAAACCTCTTTTACTAATTGTTTTAGATGACTTCCTGTTTCACCGGAAATGATTCAAACTTTTGATTTTTAAATGACACCCTCGGTATTTTTTTTACTTTACTCGATAGAAAATGACACTCTGAATAGAATGTCATAGCATATGTCAAATTTTGACATTTTCGCATATGGTTTAATTGAAATTGTAGCATGCGATTCATAACGACAATTTGACTCGAAATACCAAGTGTGTGGTACTAAATTACACTTATTATATACTAAAGTGGTACTTATTAAAAATGTTTTTTCCAAATATGCTAATGAAACACCCTTGTTCCATTTGAAAAAATTGAGATATGATTAAAAAACGATTTATGCATATTTTAAACGGCCAGGACAAGACACGAAAAACATTAGACGATCCATATTAACATAGCCATGGCATTCTAGATTGAAATTTAAAATACGATTTTTTTAAGCTAAAATGTCAAAAGTTCACATATGATGTGTCATTTTTTTCTATCGAATAAAGTAAAAATATACCGAGGAGAAAAGATTGTAGTCACTTCCGGTGAAACACGAACCGAACAAAAACAATTAAATATGTTAATCAATCCTAATTTATGTCAAATAATAAATATGTTTTTTTTTATCTCAAAAAATAAAAAAATTATAAGGGTGATCCACTTTTGAGACGCACCCGGTATGCACATTTACAATGCCTCCTTTGTGACACCGATTGCTCGTTTCTACCAGTTAGGAATTGCACTGCAGCAAAATGCACTCCAATCCCTCATCGGGCACGCGTTTTAGCTTACAGCGTGTTTTGATTGCTATGGTTAGGTACATTTTCGTTTGGTTTGGTTTGTTGGTTCATTTTTGTTTATTTTAGGTTTTTTTTCGGTACGGTATTAACTACAGTCTAAATTACAGTATGTACTAGGTTAAGTTCATACCTACACAAGAAAAGTGTTCGTTAATAAATAAATACGTTTAGCAAGGTTTCCCGCGGCGCACTTCGGCACCTTGATGCAGTTAATTCCTAACACTTTGATGCAGTTAATTCCTAACTGGTAGAGACGAGCAATCTGTGTCACATAGGAAGTATTGTAAATCTGCACCCAGTATACCTGTATATAATATAAGAAAAGCAAATTGTATATTTGTCTATACAATAAGTTGACCAGTCGGTAGAGATGGTATAGACAGACGATCATTGCATCGAAACCTGGGTATCTACTTAGGTACATTGAAGCTTGAGTTGTGACTGCTGAAAACAGGCACAAGCACACGCGGATATACAGAAAGATGACTAGCTGGTACTGCGTAAGTTATACTATAGTGTCAATAATAACTTAATATGATACTTACTAGGAGTTGAATTGAAAATTCCCCCCGACGGACTGCCCGGCAGCATGTTGCCCATCGAGGTGCTCGTGGGAGTCGCCCCTCCGTACCCGTTCATCTGACTTCCGCCGCCCCCGCTCCCGCTGCCGCCCACGTAGCTGCCGCCACCGTTGGAGGAGTGAGGAGTGGACGCGTTGGAGCAGTAGCCGCCACCCCTCGGGCTGACGCTGCTGCTTTGCGCGCGCGCGTACTCATCTAGAAGAAAAACCCTATAGATAAAGGACGGGAGTCAGTTAAAACCAAAACAAACAAAGTGAAAAAGTGATCAGATAGCTGGTTCATACTTCTAATCTTTATTCTAACTGGTAGAAGAGTTAAAAAGAATATGAATCAGTATTAACCAATGTCAGTGCTTATGGTTGCAATACTGGGTTCTTAACATTAGCCTTTGTCGTAAGAAATATGACATATTTTATATTCTTAAGGCTTTTCTAAAGATTTTCCCCAAACGGGTAAATCCCCACATGAGCCGTGTTAATGAAAAAACAGTTATATGATGCATTGAACAAGTTATTGCATTTCTTGTTAAGATTTGTAAATAGGGTACCTTTATATAATATAATCATCAGGTTTACACTTCAGCTGTAACTGTATTTTATTAAATTATCAACTTTTCATTCTCAAGTTTTTGCTCTCTTCTCGTTGGTCTTTCGTTGGAAAATACCTTAATCTTCTTAACGACACATTTGTATCTCAGTTGCAGTTAAAGCGTTTTTCATCAACACGGCAGAGATTCCATCGTTTTCAACAAAACAGCAACTGGAGTATCCAATAAATATTTTGGTTAATTCGAGTTACCAACGACTGTTTTCGTCAACAACGAAAAGGTCAGTTGTTATGTATAAAATCAAAGGGTCTCTGAGTTGTCTCTGTATTTTTCTAAACCGTGTTCGTCTGACGAAAATGGCACTCAACTATCTAGTGAGTTTTTATCTATATTTTTCTTCTTCTTCTTCTTAGTCGTATTCTCATGTCTGAGAAATCGTGATCTCATGGGTATATTTTTCGGTCGTACATCCATCTTATTTTTCATCAAGAATGTCATGATTTTAGTAGTTCCATAATCTAATCGTCGTTTTACTGTACTCTCAAATGATCTCTATTCCCTTACAATGCCTAGGTCTCTTCCGCGTTAGTTTTTGTATACTCAATTAGTGTGCATTATAAAAATTCCGTATATCTGCCATATAATTCGTCAATAAAAGAAGACGTGATGGCAAATGTTTGTATAGAATAGAAACTACAGAAAACATTTTTGTAGCTCATAACATGCCTGTCAGTCCATTTGTTGGAATTTTGGTTTTTTCCGAAACTGAAAACAGGTTTCTGTTTTTACTTTTGAAGACAAAAGAGTTTTATTTGAGCACTGATACGAATTCCTCATATATTATTTGTCAGGATGATGCTAACGGTATATCGTTATTTATTCTTTGGTCTGGTAATACCTACCTAACCAGTAATAATTAATATCCATTCATCAATACTGCGTAAATTATAAAAAAATTAAAAGTATTTCAAAATCTCGAACATTTTGTTACATCCATGACGGCAAGCGAATACTAAAGTATTCCTAAAACAAGTATGAGAATGTGAAGGGTTCTTCTGATTATTATTAAGGCGAAGTACTTAAGGCAAGTTAAGTTCAATGATCAGATTAGATCTAGTAACTGAAGTATGAACCAACCATTACTTATTTATATGAGACTTTGTTTAATTTATAAAGCAGTTAGTAAATAGAATGCTATTGTAGTGTAGCTTAAAAGACGTTACTTATTTTAGATGCTATTTTAGGTTTTCACAATATTTAAAATACTGGAAACAATCAACAATGTTATGTCTAAAAAAATTGAACTTAGATATAAATCAAATATTATCCAAGATGTTCCGGGTTGCGTTTATTTCAGGGTAGAATTAGTTGCTTCTTATTGGACCATGCTTTGTATGATGCGAGGGCGATTTCTCGCACGTACTTAAGATGTATACCCTCAAAAGTACTATCTACATTTTATAGCCGGCACTATTAAAGATGCCGAATTAGGCATTGTTGATGTTGTAGATGTTCGCTCTGAAGTAATGATCATGAAGAGTTCACAAACAAATCGATTCTAATTATTACTAAAAAACATCATTAATCTAATTCAAAATTAGGAAGTAGCACTAAATAATAAATCAGTTCTAAATAAGATCGGTGACAATAGTAAACAATCTTCAGCAACAAAGCAATAAAAGTATATACTAAAAAAAGAAAGAGAATAGAGAAAATTCTACTACTAAGATACTGAAACTGCCTGTTAATAACACAGTTCATAAAACAACAGAATTCACAGCAGCTTATAATAGTATAAACTAAGATATCTCACAGAGTCAGATCCAATATGTGGAACAACAAACAGATTTTTCAGAAATCTCAAAGAACTGCTTAAAAAAGTGGATTAGACTGGCAGAAGAGTACTTCCTAAACAGGAAGGGACCTAAACATGTTGAACCACAAAAGACAACACATCTGCAGAAATTCACAGAACATATACATTTCCAAAAATTCCTCAACAAATTGGAACTACGAACATAACCTGCAGCTATTCTATACTGATGTAAGGTCTACACGAAACGCAGTAATAAGAGGCGTTTACCTAGTTTATGTTAAAAAAAACTTTAAAAGTTATACTATAATAGAGTTTTCAGATCCACGGGAACCACAGAGTAATAACCGTTAATTTAATAGAAACGAAATGGATCTAAGATGGATAAAACGGAACTATACACAGGGAAAGCCAAATCACCATATATTGTACATAATATCTATACCTTCGTGGCCGATTCATTTTTGAAAAAAAATCTTCCAGGCTCTTCGCCACTGTAAGAAAATCGACAAAATAAAATAGTAATTTTTTATAAACACTGTTGCGTTGATCCAATTTGTCAGCAGTATTTTACGAATAAAACAAATTTGCTAACGGACAAAAAAATGCTTAACGTTTCAGGAGGCATATTTCCTCCAAGCATTGTAAGCAAAAAGATGGTAGAGATGGACATATATTGAACATCTCTACTTAAGAAATAATGGGACAGCAAAGAACACATGTTTTGGTGGGCATATTTACAGGCGACCATTAGCGCTAGAGGTACTCGGTTCCACGGAGATCAATTCTAGACTAGTGTGGGATTATGTGTGTGCTCAATGTCATAAGGGTAATCAAATGGCAGATGAAATGGCTAAACAAGGCCCATCAATGCCCCATTCATAGATCCAAAACCCTTCTGCGACGTTGCAAAAGTAGTCAGAAGAACGGCCATAAGACGATGTGTGGCCAACAAATCTCTAAAATGGTGGAGAAATTCACAGGGCAGGGACAAGCAAAAAAGTTTATAGTAGCACATTCACCAAAATTCAGGGCACATCTGATAAGCAAATACCGTCAAATCTGTAGTGGGTCTAATAACAGGGCATTATAAGCTGAATAGGCAATAGGCAGCTGCAGTTCTCCGTAATAGGCAATGATAGGCCAATGACAGAGAGCTATATGATCGACTCAGTCTCCAAATTGCTAGACTTTTTGAAAAGAATAGGACTGGAGAATGTGAACTAAGGATCAGAAGAATCAGAGCAGATCTGAAAAGGTCGCAGTGGATCATAGTCATCTCAAGGAATCTAATATACCTCTTAACTAACAATATCCTTCCTATAATACGCATTACAGAATATCTTTTCTAACTTATGTTGAAATACGGTATTAAATTTACTTTTTACATGTAGCATCTAAAATAATAAACTATCGATTATAGCAAAGCACGAAGGAACTGAATCGAACCTTCCGTTGTCCACTGACCGTTTCCAGTGTCCTGTACACTGACCGCCAATTGTCCAGTGTACGCGTTGAACGACGTGGCCATGCCGTTGTTGCCCATCGTCGGCGACCTGGGAGCGGACAGCGACAGCTGATTGTTCCTGGGCATCGAATAAAGAGCCTCTGCCAGATCGGCCGCTCTTTTCAGGATAATCTCCTGTTGGACAAAGGAAAATAGAAAATTAGCTTTAATATAATCTACAGGGTGGTCTGAATTTGTGTTCGGATTTGTTTTTTCTTCTTCGCCAACATTTTTAGGGATAAAAATAGGTAAAGAAGTTCGTATAAATGTATATCCTAAAATACTTCGTTTCTTCCAGGAGATACCTGGTGTAAAAGTTTCATTTTTATTTCGACTTTCTTTTCAAAGAATTTCTGAACTAACGTCGATATTTGGATGAGAATTGGTATACAAGGTGTTCTTTAGTGACATGCTAATATTTAAGGGCGTGATTCTTGGACCTATTCTAAGAGAAAAACTTCATATGAATGTATGTCCTAAACATCTTAATTTCTGAGATACAGGGTGGTAAATTTTTGTAAAAAAAACTTTTTTCATAATAACTGATTTTATTACAGATATCTTTATGAAAGTTGATACACGTTTTCTATGCATCAAAATACCTTTTTTGTACAAAGAATTTTATTTATTTCAGTCAGTGCCGTCCATACGGGTTTTAAATTGAATATTTTCGGAGAAAAAAGTGGTACAAGTATCTCCATTCATTTCTAAATATTTTTTCTCTTGATTTTTTCGCCCGACGCATAGTTTTTCCTTAAAAAATTAAAGTCAGTTTATTTCAGGCTCAAATCGCTGAAAATATGATGCGGTGACTTTTGTGTGGAAATCATTTCTGCATCGGTTGGAAGGAAATTAAGAAATGAAACAATTTTTTTTGTATATCAAAATTGTGCTTCTTTAAAATAAGCATTTTGATGCATGGAAGACGTGTATCAAATATACCGTCAGAGATAATTTGAGAAAAAAACTAGAAAATTTTACCACCCTGCATCTAAAAAGTTATATGTCTATGTTAAAGCAAGATGTTTAGGACATATTATGAAGTTTTTTTCTTAGAAGAGGTCAAAGAATCACCTGCTTAAATATTAGCATGTCGTTAAGGAACATAATAGTTGTTTTTTCATATGATAAATTTGATTTCGATATCAATATGACTGCTACTTGAAACTTGAACTTCCATACTAGAACTGTTTTGAAAAGTAATAACGTTTCGTCAGTAACTAACACTATTAAGTGAAAAAATACACATTTCCGCTATTTTTAAGTAAAAAGATCTTTTGGTAAAATCCCTACAAGTAATGGTTCTTAAAATATTTGGAATCGAATCTATACATGTCATATTGACACCAAAATGAAATTTTTCATGTCAAAAACACACAGACACCAATTTTCATCCAAATAGCGTTATAGCGAATTAGTCCAGAAATTATTTGAAGAAAAAAATCGGAATAAAAATGAAACTTCCATATCCTGTATCTCGGTGAAGAAGCATTTTAGGACATGAGTTTATACGAACTTTATTACTTATTTTTATCTGCAAAATATGCAGCTGAAATTTCCAAAATAAAATTTGGACCACACTGTATACTAATTATTCATATTATACAGGGTGAGTTTCCTACGATGTTCTCTATGGGTATCTCGGAAACTGTTGGAGATAGAGGGTCGGTTAAATGGGGAAAGAATTGCAGTTTTCTGGGGTCATAAATATGCGATAGATTTTTGAAAAAGTTCATGGCTTACTAGATATTTCGAAAAAAAACAATGATTTCTAACTTAAAAATTGTCAGAAATTCCATTATAATCAATTTTAACAATTTATTTTAGATAAAAGTTGTAAGAACTTAAAAAAAACTAATATCACTACATACACTTTAAGTTATTTTAGCAAATGTTAAAAAAAAACGCCATTGTTTTGAGTACATAAAATGCATCTTTGTAATACTGAATTACAAGCTTTTCCCACAGAACAGCCGGTCGACTTCAATAAACTTCTCCCGTACCGCCTCTTCGAGTGCCTCTCTTAGTTCATAAATTCTATTATAAACTTTGTTAAAAAAATCTAAAATGGATAGGTCAGGTGATCGAGGAGACCCATGCAATTGGTCCACCTCTTCTTATCTATGAGTTTGCATAATTATGAAATAAATAATTTTTAACATTTCTTTCATTATAAGGGGGAGTGTCATAATGAAAGTCATGTTGAAACCACTCTATTGATGCGCGAGTATCTAAATTTAACTTTTCTAAAAAATGTAAATAACGTTCATTGGTCAACATGTCCTTGGAAATGTATGGCCAACAAAAATTGAACCAATAATCCTACACGCTTTTCTTTATTTAAAAAATTCATATTTACAATTTTTGTTTATTTTAATTTACAAAGTTTGGATGTGACAGTTTCACATTACTGAGAGCAACGCCGATTGAACTTGTTCTCATGGCTAACTAAGTGAAATTGTTTAAAAATGATAAGAATTGGCTACAACTCAGTAATTTTTGGAAAGAAACATATTATAGCTTATATCGCTGAAAAGCTTAAAAAATGCCGCTTTTTATGAAGTCATGGCCAACTATGGTTTCCAAAATTTTAAAAATGACAGGCTTTAGAAAAAATCGTAGAACACAAACTTATTAGGGATGTAATTATCTACAACTTTTATCTGAAAACTTTTTGTCTAAAGTAGATTATAATGGAATTAGGGACAATTTTTAAAATAGCCGAAATTTGTTTTTTTCGAAATATCTAGTAAGCCATGAACTTTTCCAAAAATCTGAAAAGCGCATGTTTATGACCCCACGAAACTGCAATTCTTTCCTCATTTAACTGACTCTCTATCTCCAGTAGTTTCCGAGATACCCATAGAGAACATCGTAGGAAACTCACCCTGTATAAGGTTGACTCTACCTATATACCCAAAAATCCTCGTAAGTTAATGTTCAGTTGATCTTCTAAGAGATAAGATGAGGCCATTTTTGGAAGATCATTATTTTTTCAGTTGCTACGCTTAATTAAATCAGTGAAGATAAATAAAATAATGAAATAACAAGATACGTTTTTCGTCATAAGCAATTCCGACAATAGACTAAACACACCTAATTGTGAATTTTGAATATAATCATATCTGAAATTTTTGGAAACAAAGCAAACTTCCAAGCTTTTCATGAACTGATTTAAGAGATATACTCGTTCATTTCATAGCATTAAATATTTGCAACCTTAATTTAACCTCAATTGAACTTTAACTTACAACATTATAAACTAAATCAAATTACAAAAAAAAACCATAGAAAGAAATCGACTAAATCAATTACAAAGTATAGAATATACATAAGAATTATTGACCTGAACCCATATAGTATGTGAAATAAATATTGGCGTGTGGAAGAATAAATATTAACTTACTTTAGGAAGCTTTTCTGGATCGCCTGGATGTCGCGGTATTAGTTTTTGGAGTCGTTGGAATCCGTAATCGATTGTTGGTTCGTTTAGTGCTAAAAAGAAAGCAACGCTATTAATATATTCTAACTTCCTGGTAAATATTTATTTTCATCTTCAATCAATATCTAAATAATTATACATTGATTAGTATATTAGACTACAGAATATACAACTGCTGACAATTAAAGGGGGGCTGCAATAACCAGGCAGCTCCATTTTAATACATTTGTGGGAAATCCAAAAAGAGCTGCTCGGTTCTTACTGCAAACCCAGAGCAAGGCAGCTCTAACGAACGTTGCCTTTTATGTACTGTTATATTGAGAGAACTGATTGTTGCGGGAAACGATCGGCCAGTTGTTGAGTTGCCTGGAGGTCCAAGTGGAGCTGCCTGGTTATTGCAGCCACCCCTTCAATTAGTCTCCGTTGGATTAATGCAGCAGTGTTTACAAAAAATAACTATTTTATTTTGTAGATTTTCTTATAGTTGCGAAATTCCATCGGATAATTTGGAGATAACGTAGTATCCATGTTTCATCAAATCATTTAGATTGGATGATGTGACATCTGACGGTCTTTCTGGCGAGGAGCAAGGGGAAAGAGACCACCTACCTGCTGAGCCTTATCCAGGGTAAGAAATTCAATGTAAGGACATCGAGTTGGCGAGTCATCAACTAGAGGGAGGAGGGTCATGGTCAGGTCCTCACAATAGAAATTGACCTCAAATCCAAGGAGTCAATAGAGATAGAGGGACACATCCTCTATTATAGATACGGGACAACACCGGTATCAGGTCTAAGGAAAGACCAAGTTAAAGAGGTGGAGAAAATGGAGACAGATCCCCCAGCCTCCACCTCACGGGTTCCTCAGCCGGAGGCAAGCTCCTCGACTGTGAAGGGCGGCACGGACGGCCAAACTCCAACGGTGGAAGGGTGTATACCCTCGGAGGAAGAACTGTTGTCAGAGGAGGATGGGAAATACCATGTCCCCTCTACAACAGGGGTATGATGGGTTATAGTCTGTGTGATGATTCAAGGAAGGGGGGCACAATAGATCTTTAAAGTCGCAGTGATTAACCCCCTCTTACTCATTCTATATTCTACATAGCACATCTTGTAGGTTACTAATAACAAGTTATGTTTCTTTCCAAACTTTAAAAAACACACTTATTAAACTGGAATTATTACTAACTATATTCGAGGAAGTATTTTTATACTTACAAACATAAACAAATCGTCCAGGGGCACCTTTACAAAACTGCTTCGATTTGTACGATAACGTTACTTCTACAACACCAGGTATGTGTCTGGGTGGAGTTTGTACTCTAATTGCATGGGGCGTGATAAGCTAAAACAAAAAGAAGAGTTTCTTCAGTAATTGAGCTACAGTTCCAAAAAATGAGAATTCTTCAATTATTGACTTTTTGAAAAACATTTTATATGAACACACTTCAACCTAAGCCCAGTAACTGAATGAAACAAGCTTATGTTTCATGGTATAGAAATAAAATATTGTTTACATTAGAGATATTTAAAAACAATTTTGGTATTGTATTATTTATTTACTTTTTTTTAAGTTTCACACAAATCACATAATAGAGCATATAGGCTACACAGGATGTTTCAAAAAACATGTGCCATCTCTCGTGGAATGATTCCTCACGTAAAAATAAGTTTATTTTTCATAACATCGTAGGTTCCCATTCTGCTTTCTTTCGTAGCTACAGTTCTTCCAAGTGCTTTTAGCGATTCCAATGAAATTTTGAAGGTAAAAGTTACTCTAAGTGCGACATATTTTAATGTTACATATTCACCAGGGACGTGCATGGGTTATAACTAGAATGTTTTTTTAGAAAGACATGTGTGCTACTGACGTTTTTTCCTTGTTAGCAAAATTGTGTAGGCTGTTTAATGCCGATTAAAAGTTATATCTTGATTTTTTGCCGATTTCGATCTCCTCGATGGGATCACAATTTTATTAATTTGCGTTAATCCAAGTTTAATACAACCTTTCATTTTTTTTAATATAATTAACTAGCCATAGTGTTAAATAAATATTTAACCTCATCAAAGAATATCAAAAAGGTCCTATAAACATGGATAATAGTTTTAAAGTTACAAAATGTTAAAACTTCTAAAAAGGTCTTTTGTAATTAATTTAAATACAATTATTTCCTTTTTAGTATTTGCTGTAGGTAGCATTGAATATCAGTGTAATAAATTTTAATAAAAACTAATAATAAATCAGACTATATAAAGAATTTATTAATTTTATTTTTTTAATATACAATATTTAATTGTGATTAATAAAATTGCTTTTATCTCATTGAGGAGATCGAAATCGGTAAATTATCGAGGTACAACTTTTAATTAGTATTAAATGGCCTACACAATGTTGCTAACAAGAGAAAAATAAATCAGTGGCGCACATGTTTTTTTCAAAAAATGTTCCAGTGATATAACCCATATGAACGTCCTTGGTAAATGTAGATACTTTTTAGCATTAAAATATGTCGCACTTGTAGTGACTTTTACCCTCAAACATGATACCTACATTTCATTCAAATCGCTAAAAGTACTTGGAAGAAAATTATAATAAATCGATAAAAAAATGAAGATTTTAACCCTCTTCAAAACTACGAAACAAAGCAGAATCGGACCTCCATTGATAAGAAAAATGAGTCGCATTTTTGCGTGAGGGATCTCCTCACTAGACATGGCACATGTTTTTTGAAACATCCTATACAAGATGAGTCTTAAATAATTGCAAATATTTTTAGGGGTATTAATCGAAATATAGATCCCAGAAACATGAGGTTTATTTTGCGAAAAAAAAATCCAGAAAATATCCAGTGGTTCTCAAAATTTTAGAAAAAAAATCATCGTTTTTACAAATTTTCAAAGTAAAATAACTCGGTTATTTTGAATTTATTTGAAAAACGGTAAAGTGAAAATGTGTTTCTTTTATCGAGATCTACCAATCCTGAAAAAATTAGCACTTATTCAAGACTTGCCCTTGTATATAGGCTAGAAACTTTGATTTTCGAAAATTAAAAATTCTTAAATTGACTTACTTCGCTCCAAACTAGCATTGTTCCAAAAACGACTTGTAGACCGTCGAAGAAATTGTCTCCAACGATGATGACCGTCGATCCTCCAGCTGTCCATCCTTCACTGGGGCTGATAGCTTTTATACAGGGCGTTGCGACTGGCAGGGGTGGGTAGAGCCCTGGAAATTGACCTGCTTCTATGAAGAACACTATCGGGACAATTCGTCATGATAGAAACTCGGTATCACTTTAGGTGTATATTTGGTACGTGTGTGATCGAATTTTGTCTTTTTTAACAGTTAAAATATGATCCCATTAAATAAAGTCCACAATTTTTTTTAAAGTAAGAATTTTGTGTACTCTACTTTTAAGGAAACTTTTGTTTTCAAGTACTAGATATACGTCAACTATACGTGAGAATTCGACAAGTAATAATTGTAACAATATATTTACTAGAGCCTATTCAAGACAATATGCAAATATACCATTTATGAAATTTAAATTTACACAGCATTGTTTACTTTATATTGGTCCAAAATCATATACTATATAACCAAAACTGTATAACCTTTTACCTGTTGATATGTGGACAATGATGCGGTTTAAATGTTTAATAAAAAAATGGATAATATCAAACCATTCCTATCACACTATTATCTAAATACCAAAATATTTATTAGTGACTCTCTGGTGTCCGTGCCTGAGAAGATAGGAAGTATTTATTTATCTTGTAATATGTAAGTAGCTATTTTCTTTTTATTTTTGATTATACATGGTGGGCTTATTATGTAACTGCTAGAGTTTAGTGTAAGCAACAAATTTTCTACTTTCATTAATGATTATTATTCCCACGCACAAGCTCTCAAGCTTATGTGGGATATTTTTGAAAAAATGTTTATAGTTAATAATAATTGTACATATTTCTAAATAAATAAATAATAATTGTACATATTTATAAATAATTTATTGACAGTGATTCTTTAGTTTTATACATATATATTTTTTAAGTTGTTTCTTGGGTCTGGTGGCTATGGTTAGATTAAAACAATAGTTTTTCGACGACGTTTCGCATTTATTGTGTCATGTCTCTTCAGGATTTTTTCTGGCCTTTCCTAAGTCTTGGAGTGTTTAATACCGTTTCTATACTGAGACTTATAAATAAATACATATCGGACCAAGTTTGTCATGTCATTTTTTAAAAAACCACCACTGCGTCTTTCTATCCCCTTACGCTCTGCTTGATATGCGTAACCAAAATATAAGAGTCTTAAACCAAAGTTTCCTATTAACCGAATGCCAAAAAAGAAAAAAAAACAAGAAAACCTTCGACGTCGGGTACATCGGACTGTGTCCGACGTTGTTTTAAGGGTAAAAACCCCCTAAAAATCCGTCATTCAATCTTTCCAGCCTCTGCTTGGTATGCGTATCGTCGCCCCACCTCTCGGAACTTTGCGAAATTGGCTTCCGATCCGGTTCAGCGGAGGACGGAAACGGAACTGCGGAACTGTTCCCGTTGTAGCTCTCCACTTTATTTCTTTTCGCTCTCTCGCTCACTCTTCCGCTCGCGTGTGCTCTCGCGGCGCGGCGACTAAATCTTCTTTCTTTTTCACTTTCCCTTCTTCTTATTCTCCTTCGTCTTAGGACCTTTATTAAACTCCAGAAGCAGTGGCGTTCGTGTCAACAAACAAATAAAATAGATAATCAACTAAACTGTATAAAAGCTAATGTGCTAAGTTATACAGAAGGCGCTCGAATTCAACTGGATTAATATATATTTAGTCATTATATTTTTGTTTAATATTTTAGACTCATCACGCCAGCTATATTTTAAAATGCTGTTATGCAAATGATTAGCAGAATGTGTAGTATGAAACATCTCCTTCCTCAACTACTCCTCCAATCCACTCATCTACTCCTGGATATAGGTATCTACTATCCGTCCTACTATCCTTTTCCTAGTTTTATGAAGTATTTAACTATCGTTTACCTGCTACTTCCCTAATGTCGCCCACCCATGGTTTTTGTGGAAGTCCGACACTTTTTTGTCAGGAGATAGATTAGATTAGATTCCTAGAGGTCGCTTTTGGCCTGATCCACTGCGACCTTTTCAGATCTATTGTGGTCGTCTTCTGATCCTTAGGTTATATTCTCCAATCCTATCCTTTTCACAAAGTTTAGCAACTTGGAGACTGAACCCTCTATATAGCTCCGTGGCAATGACCTATCCACTATTGCCGAGAACCGCACATTTGCCAGGCTGTCGCACCGACATAAAATGTGTTCTGTCGTGTTTTCTTCAGATTGGCAGAACCTATACATAGCTTCGTTCGTCAATCGCATTAGCTTTAGATGCCTATTCAGCTTAAAATGCGCTGTTAGTAGACCAACTACAGCTTTGACTCTCTATCCTTGCTTATCAGCAATGAATGTTCTACAATGAACTTTTCGCCTGTCTCTGCCCTGGTGAGTTTCTCCACCATTCCAGAGATTTGTTGGCCACCCATCGTTCTGCAGCCATTCTCGTGACCGCCTTTGTAATGCCGCAGAAGGGTTCTGGGCGTATGAATGGCATTGATGAGCCTTGCTTGGCTCTTTCATCTGCCTTTTCGTTACACTTATGACCCTCGTGTCCTGGTACCCAGGCCAACGTAACAACGTGCTATGCTCACCGAAAGTATTTAGAGTACGCAACAGTCCCACACTAGTCTAGAATTGACCTCTGCGGAACCGAGTGCCTTTAGCGCTGCTTGACTGTCCGTGAAGATGGCCACAGAACGATTTATTCTTTGTTGCCTTATTATTTCTTCTACGCAATAGTGGATTGCCATTACTTCTGCCTGAAAAATTGTGACATCCTTAGATTACGTGGAAAGATCTTCTTTCTGCCCTACTATTTCAGAATCTTATGCCATTTCAGCTTCTATACCAGGTTGCTTCAGCGCGTTGAATGGGTACACCTTTACTCCAGTCTTCCCTTCCTGGTATGGTTATATTAAATTTGTTGTTGAAGCTATACCTTGCAGCTGTTGCGTCAAGCGGTAATCCCAATACCTTGTCTGCTTTTAGCTCTTCGATTAGCTTCTGGTTAGAATGTAGAATGTTTAGGAGGGGACTTAATCACCGCGACCTTATAGATCTATTGTGTGTTCCCCTTTCTTGAGTTATAACGAGTTATAACTCATCGTACAGTCTCAGGGCTTTAAGAAAAGCCAGTATCTGAGACGGCTCCACAGAGGCCAGCTCTCCATCCTCGACATCAGACGTACCAAGGTTCATGGCACGAATGGTCGTCGTCTCGGCGCACTCAGTGATAAGGTGATCTGGTATTTCCCCGTTTTCCCCACAAAATCTGCATTCGCTGTTGTTTCTCAGTTTCAGTTTACTGAGGTGTTCGTTGAGGAGACAGTGTCCTGTTAGAAACCCCGTGACAATCCGAAGATTGTTTTTACTTAAATCAAGGAAAACCTTTGATTTTTCTCGGTCATAAGTTCTAAGGAACTTTTTCGAGTGTCTTAGACCGTTGGAGGACACCCATTCCAAGTTACGGATGGAGTCTTCCAGATTCTTCAGTTCCGCTTTCAGTTGGTTCCCGTTTGGAAAACAGAACGGTTCTGGTCCAGTTAGTGGAGTGTTCGCTCCTTTTCTAGCTAGATCATTTGCTTTTTCATTGCCTTCTATCCCTTGGTGAGCAGGCACCCAGAGTAAGAGGACTTTATTTTCTTTACCTAATTTGTTGAGCTTCTCTAGGCATTCTTTGACCAACATCGAATTGATGGTTACTGAGTTGATCGCGTTAAGTGCTGCTTGACTATCGGATAGGATGGCAATTTCCTGTTTTCGATAGTTCCTATCTAAGATAAATTGTACGCATCTTTCGATAGCGCAAATTTCAGCCTGAAGGATACTGGGGTAGGTGCCCATTGGTTCGGAGTATTCAGTTTTCGGCCCAAATACTCCTATCCCTGTCCCTGCTTTGGTTTTGGAGGCATCAGTATACCACGTAATGGTATGGTCTTTTATATGCTGAGTAAGCGTTTCTTTCTTCCAATCCTTTTTATTACTCAATACTACAGTGAGGTGTTTCTCAAAGTTGTAAATTATTGGTATGTCATCCACTGGGAGTTGGAGAAGTGGAATTTTCTTTTTGAGGGTGTTCCAAGCCCCTGACCTGAATATTCTCCCAGTACTGTTTCCGTCAGTAACCATTCTAATCATTGTCGCATTGGCATAACTACCGACGACAATGTGCAGTGGTGTTAGGTCTAGAATGACCTCCATTGCTGCTGTTGGACATGTTCTCATGGCACCTGTGATGCAGATACATGCCAGTTTCTGTACTTTGCACAGGTTTTGCCTTGCTGTACGTTGCTCTAGTTTTGTATACCAAGCAACTGCTCCATAAGTAATCATGGGTCTTACTATCATGGTATACATCCAGCGCAAAATGTTAGGGGCGCAGCCCCACCTATTTCCCGCCAGTCTTCTGCATATCATGAGAGCCTTTGTGGCTTTGCTGGTAATGTTTTTAATATGCCTGTTCCAGAGAAGTTTACTATCCAGGGTTATTCCCAGATATTTCACTTCCTGTGATGGCAGTATTTCCTTTCCATCTAGATGGATTCTCGTCAAGTTTTTCAAACTTCGCTTTCTGGTGAATGGCACTACTGCGGTTTTATCTGAGTTAATACTCAGCCCGACAGTCCTGCACCATCTCTCAGCGATGCGGAGTCCTCTTTGGATAATATCACACAGGGTGCCTCCATGTTTCCCCCGTGCAATGATGACTATGTCATCTGCGTACCCTATGCAGTGTATTCCCGTTAGAGTTAATTCTTCCAGTAGTTCATCCACTACCAAGCTCCACAGTAGGGGGGAGGTCACTCCACCTCTAGCTTCTGGTTAACAGCACTATGCGTCTGGCTTATGTGCTGCTGACCGTGAATTAACCTGTGCATAACAGATCTGGCTTCGCCTTGTATGAAAATATGTAATGATGGTAAGTTCAACAAGACGTCCATCGCATTTGTGGGAGCGGATTTTATGGCCCCCGTTACACACAGGCACGCAAGCCTTTGTGTGGAATTTAACAGTCTTATTGCACCCACTTGCGATGTACCGTATGATCGAATAAAAACGGCGTCAGCAATGGCTATGAAATGAAGATCGCTATCATTTTATA